TCTGCTGCCTGGTGCTGGGGGGCTGGAAACCCTTGGTCCTGCCTCTAAAGAAGCATGTTTCTCTCCTTTCTACACATGACACCATGTACCAGCATCTTAGGAAAACTGGGCTCATGGAGGGTGTCTAGCTTGTTTCAACCGCACACTGCAGAGGGAAACATCTGTTCTGAAATGCTGGCGGCTTTATGAAGCAATTCCATGCCTATTTATTTTGCTTTTTGTGAGACTATGATCTTTTTTCTCCTTTCATCTTTTTAAAGGAAATGGTTTGTTTGAAGATCAAAAGTATTTCAATTTATCTGTTCATCCATTCATCCATCCACCCATCCATCCATCCACCCATTTTTCCTTATATCCAGAATCTAATGGTTCCTTAAAATACTGAATGCAGTTTTTTCAACTTCGATATGAAGAAATGAAAGCCAAGCTTAATAAAGAATTTCCTTGAATTCACACTCCAGTTAGAAGTGTCTTTGGGACAATGTCAAACTTGCGGGTCCTTAGTTTAAGCTCTGTTTGGTGCCAACTCCCCTTACCCTCCAAGGCAGTTGAGCAGGTCCGGGGTTGGGCAGATATTAATACAATTAGAGGGGAGAACAGAGGTTGGCTTAGGATATGGACAGCTGTTGGCTAAAGCTGGGGGGTGCTGACGAAAGAGATGGGGCCCACCGACCACTCAGACAGCCTTACTTCCCCGGGGACGAGATGAATCAAGCCTCCGTGGGCACTGAGGCACTAGACTTCCTTGTCCAGCTGCCAGAGGCATGGAAGAAGGCCCACATCTGTGCTGCATCGGCTCCAGCACCTCTGCCTCGAGGACTAAGGAACCAACAACTGTCATCATTCCGGAGCCAGATGGCACTGGACCAGAGCATCCTCTGAGGTCCATGTCCTACTCTCCTCATGGAGGGCCATGGTCCTGTCCTGGGCAGCTGGTGTTAGTGGTCTGTGACCAGAGAGCCAGTGTGTCCTTTAGGGGGCAGACAGACAGTGTCATAGGCCCATGTTACTTTTAGAGACCCATGAAAAAAGGCCTTAATGTTTTTGTTGTTGTTTTTTTTTTTTTTTGTTTTTTGCAACAGGAGGGAAAAAAAAGAGCTTACAGCTCAAAGTCATGGTGCCTTTTCTGGGTGGCTTTTTATTTTTCCTGATGGTACTACAAGTACTTACACAGCAAGTCCTGTTTGTGTGTCTGAGGCTATCACAAGAGCTGGACTGGCACTAATTCTCCAAATTCTTAGAGCATCGTTGTGAGAGTGTGTTCTTCTTCTTCTTCAGAGGAGGAATTGGTCACAGAGAGGTAGTGACTTGCCTGACCTCACAGTTAGTAAGAGGCACAGCTGGGCCACCACCCCAGGTACTAGCATCTACACAGCTGCCTGTCCATCAGCCCAGAGGGGGCAGGTACAAGCGATACCCACAGGTCCACAGAAGAGCTGCTTCCGGTCACGTGCTATGATCTTCCAGTCAGGAGCTGCAGCAACAGCCTCCGTGTCCCCATCCCCCAATGTCCTGACTGGATCTGGTCCTGGCTCCCTAGGACTTCTGCATGTCAGGTCTAGATCCTCTTCTGCTCCTTCTGGAGATTTGATCAATTCTTTCATAAATCATGTTCACCTTCAGGTGAGTGGAGTGCTATCTGCACTTTGCATATGGACCAAACTGACCTAAGGGAAGCGGACAAAGATGAAGTAAAGGTACCTCCAGTGCCAGTGGGAAAGCAGTGACTCAGAGACTGAGCATGTGCGTACATGAGCAGGAGAGAAGGCGTGAGGAGCCTGGTGCTGCCGGACTCAAGACTCAGGGCAGAGAGGCCAGAGCGCAGTGCAGGGCAGGTGGGAACAGGAATCCAGGGCGAGACCAGGGCTCGTCCTGTCCTAGGTGTGCAGGGCCATCTCAGCTAGATTGTGTGTGGTGATAACATGTTCCCTCAAGCTATGGTACCAAAGGCCAAATTGGAAGAAGTAAAAGGCAGAAATCTGCCTGGTGTGATATGCAGCTTCCTGCTGCTGTGAGAAATACCTGAGCGAAGTCAACCTACGGGAGGGAAGCTTGAGTTTGGCACACAGCTTCTGAGGGGTGTGGGTGTCTGGTGGCTTGTGGTGAGGTGGTTCACTACGGCAGATGTGTGTGGTGGAAGAGACGCTTACTTTCTGGTGGCCAGAAAGTGGGATGAGGTGGGGGCGCATGGTCTCGATGTATCTTTCAGGGGCACACTCCCAATGACCTATTTTCTTTAAGGAGGCCTCACCTCCTAAAGTTTTTACCTCTCAGTAGCACCATCAGGAGAGGACCAAGCCTGCAGCACAAGTGCATTTAGGGACATTGAAGGCCAAACCATGAACCCCGCCAGGTCCTGTCTTCAAAGCCAGTGTGGCTCGCCGCAGACTCTACCCTATAGCTGTACTTTCCTGCTTCCCTGCCTTGTATTAGGGTACAGCCTGTGAGCTCAATGAGACGACGTGTTACACTGAAGATGTTGTCACCCCACAAACGTTTAATGAGCACCTCCTATGCATAGACCCTCTAGACCCTGAGGATGGGACAACACATCAGCATCCCTTGCTCCCACGGGACTCACAGCTGTATCTTTAAATTCTTTAACAACAGCTTGAAAAGCCAAAACCGGGTGAAGATGGTTGATAATCCTGTCTAAAGGGTTTGCTTCAGGGAAACAGAGGAGGATCTGCTCTCAGAGAAGCGAATGACTAGTCCAGTGTCACACAGTAGGACACTCAACATTCCTTTTCCTTCTTCAGTCTCTTCCTACCTCCCATAAACCTGCTTCTTACATTTTCCCCTACACTTTTTAATAGTTACTAAACATAAACTTCTCTGTGCTTTTAATTTTATATTTTGTTATATCCTTTACAAAATTAGAATAATGTTTCACAGAGAGATCCACCATGTTTTTTTCTCCCCCAAAGCTGGGACTCCCCAAGAAGTAGAGCCTGAGGCAAGGATTCAAAGGCAGCTGCATGCAGCAGACCTGCCTGGCTTCATTTATTTTTCTTTCTACTGCTGTGGAGTATTTCACTACGTTTACATTACTACTAATTTCATCCTCACAGTGTGCACGCATCACCCCATGCATCCCCATTTGTCCCCTGTAAACACTGGGGAGTTCTATTACGTGTGTTGATGTCCCCGGCTTACTATAAGGGGACGGATACTCAACATGGAAAACTTCACTTCCTGAAGCCATGACTGCAGGACAGAATCCGGAGGCCTGAAGAAATGGCAGCATTGGCAGATGGGGAGTCAGAGTCCGAGTAGCTCATCAGTGTCCTTATCACACCCATGATTCATAGCTAATCTGTGTTTATGTGAAGTTGGCCAAATCAGTGCCCCCGTGATGGTCATGAAATGGAAAAAACCTCATTAATTTTGTGGTTTATTTTCTCTGCCAACTATTGTAGCCATTTGCCTTCTGACGTTCTCCAGTCTAAATTTCATCATATATCATCCGTTTCAGCATGTCTTTTGGAACTAGTCCACAACACAGTATTTAGAATTGTTGATTTTTTTTTTTTTTTTTTTTGGATTTTTCGAGACAGGGTTTCTCTGTGTAGCTTTGTGCCTTTCCTGGAACTCACTTGGTAGCCCAGGCTGGCCTCGAACTCACAGAGATCCGCCTGCCTCTGCCTCCCAAGTGCTGGGATTAAAGGCATGCGCCACCACCGCCCGGCGAGAATTGTTGATTTTTTTGAATTTTATAATTGCACATGTTTGGTGACCTGAGTGACATGATCTATATCCTGTGGTGGTCGTGTTCTCAGATTTTTTTTTTTAAAGGATGGGAAACTCTGCAATTACCAAACTCTATGGTCTTGATATCTTGGTGGGTGATTTTGGATGGCCATCAGCACTTTTAATCAATACTTCTAGAACTTCTTTGAGAACCAATGTACATAGTCCTGACAGCAAAGACTACCACCTGCCCATGGTTACTATGTATATGTGGCAAATGACTCCCTTTTGGAACTCAGGCCAGGCTTCTCTGGCCTCTTTGCTTTGGAAAGCAAAGGGGAGACCAAGGCCAGGAGTGCTCATCAAGTGTCAGCTGCTGGAGGAACACCCAGGAGGCAGAACGGGGATTCTGCTGGGTTGTCACGGGGGGGGGGGGGGGGGGGGGGGAGGGCATTCGCTTATCTCTACGTGTACTTAAACAGTCATCAGCCTGAGATGAGCTCCTCACTGTCACAGCTCCCGACTAGGGCACAGGAAAGTCACCAAGAAGCCTCAGTAGATAAGTAGATGTTACCAGAGCCATCATGGGGAAGTGGAGGGCAAGGTTCCCACTTGTAATCTTGTTTGTCACCAGGGACCTTAGCTCAGACTCTACATTGACCACGAGGAACTTCCAAGAGCACCAGGTGCCTTGACTCTTTGTACTTCCCTTGGGAATTCCTGCATGGTCTCCCATTCAGGGTTTCACAGCCTCCCCCATCCTGGATTGTCATATCATCTTTCTACTCAATGGTCAGTCAAAACAGTCTCTGTAGGTTCTCCTACTGTCCTTAGAAAGCTGCAGGGGGATTTTTACTAACAATTGCTTCTCTTGTCACAAATTTTCCTTTTCCTTTCCACAGTCAGTTAAATCCTTGCTTTATATTTCACTGATAATGTTGATAAAGGACTAGAGCTAGAAAATTAGGACTATGTATATAAAGCCTGTCCCTCATTTGGAACCAACAGCAGCTGGGCCCGAAGCAAAGGCCTTGCCTCAGGCTATAGTCTACAGCGGAGCCAGACCCGTGGCTATAAACAGGGGTGATTTCCAATCCAGTTTTCACCAGTTACATTAAGTCTGGGGCACAGATGAATTGAAAGGCTTTCAGACTTAGTGGAGCCCCAAATGGTCCATTTAAAGGGAACTTGGGAGCCCATCTAGAATGGAACCCTTATTCTAAAGGGGTTGAGGGGGAACTTCCTTGTGGCCATGGTCTCTGAATCCTAAAACACAGCAGCAGACAGATACTGAAATCACGTACACTCACCTGATGGGTATGATTTCCAGGGACATACACAGACTTAAACTGCTTCATGAGAGTTCTAGCTCCGGCAATCTCTTGGAGAGATGTGAAGACATCATTCACAGCAACTTGAGATTTGGGAAATGTCAGGTTAATTGCAGAGTCACAGCCTGAAACAGTCCAGAGATATTTTCATAAGTGAGCAAATCTTTAAATTAAATTTTCCTCATGACAGCTTGAGCTCAATGTAAGAGTCTGGAATTCCTTCAGCCCTATTTTTCCCTGGCTGTTTGCTAACGGGGCTGCTGCAATCATCCATGAGTAATGGGACATGAGTGTGAATGCTTTGGACAGAAGTGGGAATTGCCTGGCACCACAGCCACTGGACTCAGACACTAGACTGCAGAGGCTCCCGAGGGACTTTGACTTTCAGACACTGCCTTGGAAAACCAAGAGGAACCTAAGGAAGACAGGAGTGAGTGCTGTGACGAATGTCTGTCTGTAATCCACTGACAGTTTCCAGAAGGTCTGACAACAGGATGGAGAAAGAGAGCAGCCACACCGAGAGTGGAACCAGCTGGCATGGACAAGTTCAAAGTGGTTGACTGTGCTAAATAAACCGGGTGCCAGGACCATTGAGAGGGAGCAGCCCAAGCTAATAAAAACACAAAGGTGGCCATCACTCTCCCTGATCGACTACTCTTCTGTTAGGCATCCATCCAGGAGAGAAATAATCAAAGATAATACAGAGGTTCATAAAACATGGATACATTGAGGGCACTTATCCTCAATTCATTGATACACCAGACGTGACAACTCATCACCTCTCATGTGACCCCCGTGAGGTCACAGGTACAATTTGTCCCCTTTAGAGCATGAGGAAAGTGCAGGTTTAGGTACTCCTGTGAATAGGTACTGCCATGGCCTTGCATGTCCACTCAGTCATCCAGGCCTCACCTGTAGGGTCCATAGTGCCTGTGTGCTCTGCTGCCCATCTGGAACACCTGCCTGCCTTTGCATCTGTCTATGTCTCTGTCTCTTTCTGTCTGGGCTTTCTCTGGTTGCAGCAGCTTGGTGGGCCTTCATGTGGGCAGGCTAGAAGTGTTGGGCACTATATATCCAGAGAAACAACCCCTACTTTCTCTTCCTTCATGGAGATAATTCTGAGTGATGGCTTCCACTGCCATTCTGAGGAGGCTCAGCTGCCCCTCAAGAACTGGTTCATTAACATTGTATTCCTTCCTTCACAAGAGTGGTCAATGATCAGACACAGGCAGCCTGATCCATACCCTGACCTAGTCTGTAACACTGACATGTTTTTCACATACCATGTGATTCTCCATTTAAAGTGTTTACAACCCAATAGTTTTCTACACATGCATAGACATACAACCATTACCCAACAGTTGAGTTCTGAACACCTATATCACCCCAACAGGGAACCCTAAATCTGTCAGCCTGTATCTCGATTCTTCCCCTTGTATCCATCAGTCTGCTCTCTACTCTATGGATTCACTGATAGGACATTTCATATTAATAGATCATAGATGTGGTCTTTTGCAGCTGGCATCCTGTATTTGCTCTGTTTTCAGGGTTCATTCAGGCTGTAGTACATATCACTACTTCCTTTCTTTTTACTGCATGGCTATAGTGCATTCTACTGTATCGATACACTACATTTCATGTGTCTACCCACATGTGTACCCACCACACCCAAGGCAAAAAACCTTAGAAAGAAAACAAAGTTTCTCAGTTGGTAGGCACTTGGGTTGTCTCTGTGTCTACATTATCATGATAATGCTGGCGGTTTGCGTGGACAAGTTTTCATGTGGACTTGTACCTTCATTTCTCTTGTGTGCACTTACTGGCAACTCTGGGTTAATCTTTGGAAGAATGCGAGATCCGCACTACTTCCCAAATGACTCGCTACTTTACATTCCCACCAGCACTCGAGGAGGGTTTCAGTTTCTCTACAGCCTTGTCAACGTTCACTATATCTATTTTCTCCACCATAGTTCTCCAAATGGCTGTGAAGCAAGGAGATACTTGTCAAGTCTGATAGTCAAGGAAATTGTTTGGGGAAGGAAGAGGTTGAGTCAAACAAGCTTAAACTAAAAGAGGATGCATCCAGCATACACAGAAGCATCCAACGGACCCCAGCTGCATCCATGCAGAGAGATGGTAGGTATGTGAGTGGCTGACCCATACTCTTAATTAGTTTGTGGCGCTGCGTGTGGTAACCCTTAAGGGTAGGCAAAATTCCCTAATATATACTTGTTTCCAAAATTCCCCAATAAATATTTGTTTCCTGGTTTCCACAAATGCCTGACTTGTGTTATTAAAAAAAGCTGAACTGTGGCAGAGTGGTTTGAATGAGAAATGTCCCCCATAGGCTCTGTATTTGAATGCTTGGCCCTCCAATCGTGGCACTGCTTGGGGGGAGGCATGGAACTTTTAAAAGGTAGAGCCTTGCTGGAGGAAGCATGTCACTGGGGATGGGGTGTGGGGTGGGGGAGCTGTCGTTATAAAAACGTGATCAGCTAGCTTCCCATTCCTGTCACCATGCCTGCCTGCTGTCATACTCTTCCTGCCATTACAGACTATCTATTCTATCCCTCTGTAACCAGAAGCCCAAACAAACCCTTCCTCCCTAAGTTGATTTTGGTCATGGTGTTTTATCACAGCCCAGAAAAGTAACTGATATATATGGTTTTTACTAGTTTTGTTACAATGAAACACTAGAGGCTGGAACCTTATAGAGAGAGTTTCCATTATAATCTTAGATCGATTTAGCCTCTGGTGAGGAGCCTCTTGGCATCATGATGAGAGAAGGTGTGAGGGGACAGATCACATGGTGAGACAAGAAGCAAGGGCAAAGCCGGGCGGTGGTGGTGCACACCTTTAATCCCAGCACTCAGGAGGCAGAGGCAGGCGGATCTCTCTGAGTTCGAGGACAGCCTGGTCTACAGAGTGAGTTCCAGGAAAGGCACAAAGCTACACAGAGAAATCCTGTCTCAAAATACCAAAAATAAATAAACAAATAAAATAAAAATAAAGAAAGAAAGAAGCAAGGGCAGAGAGAGGTCAGTCTTATTCTTTTCACAATTCAGTCCTTTAAGAACTCTTTTTGCAGAACCAGAACTGATCCCTTCTGGCAAGTGTCAGTGACCTGTTGACCTTCCCCTGTCTCACCTCTTTATGTTTAACCACCTTGTCATCTCAGCACCCTGGGGCTTGATCTTCCAGCACGGGAACCTTTGAGGACAACCCACACCTCACCTCACAGAGGTGAAGACCAGTGTGAGAAAACCTCTCTGTGTTCGGTAGACTTTGTGTGTATGGAGGACTCCAGGGGGTGTGGAAGGAAGTTGATGGAGAGAATGCAAGAGTCCACACAAATCCTTGGAACAAATCCATGGCAAACCTCATGGAAAGAGGAAACCTGTAGCTTTCTGAGATGCATGCATGTAACTTCTTCCTGAATCCGGAAAAGATTCAAAACTAGGAGAAGCTGGACTGTAAAAGGCCAGTGTGGAATAGCCTCCCACCCTGGTTGCTATTGGCAGTGAAGCTCAACCTGAGACAGCACAGCTTGTGCATCGTTATCAACAAAAGAGGGAAGGCCAAGGATGTAGCTCTTCATTCATGAATGAGGGTTCTTTCTGTAAACCCATGTAAGGAAATTTGTCTATCACCTGTCAGTCAATCTATCATCTGTCATCTATCTATCTATCTATCTATCTATCTATCTATCTATCTATCTATCTATCTACCTACCTATCTATCCTCCATTATCTAATTTATCATTTTAGATTATTCATTACCTTGTCAAGGAACAAAGACATGAAGACAAGGAGAAAGAAACATCCCTAGCTCTAATACCACACAGCATGTTCTTAATTCCCCTAAAGGACTAACTAGTAGACTAATACTTAATGTAAAATAACTCATTTTCTGTAGAACTGAAAAAGTCAGTCAGTCTTCCCCACAGCCCATTTTAATTTGGGGGAAGAGTACAGAGGAAAACATTTATCCACTAGGCAGAGTTTAGTATGACGTCATCTAGATTGAGATGATTTACTGAAAAGTCTAGACTATTTGGGGAACTTGTGTATTATGTATCAAAGTTACGGCAAAAGCCATGACCTCACATGGGTTAAGGGCAACTACAGAGCAGGCTGGTTAACAGAAGTGAGTATGGGTTCCTGTGAAACTGAACTTCAATGAACCCAACTGAACAACAGAAACTGCTGGAAGGAAGACAGAGTCCAAACTTTACCAATAAAGTGAAGATCTTCTTTAAAACTGTCTACTGTTCAAACTGCCCTTTGTACAGGGTTGTTTCTGTTCTAACTGCTAACCCTCTCCAATTTCCCTGTTCTCCTCACAGCAAGTGTCCTGGGGTGCACTTGGTCTGGGGACAGTAATAGTGAGGGATTCACCTCTAATCACCCTTCAACCATTTTTCATAATTTACTTCATTTTCACTGTTTTACATTTACTTACTGAAGCCATATAGTAAAAATTGTGCACATAAAACCTTTCCAAAACAGGCAAAACAAACAAACCGGAATGGGACAAAACCAACAAACAGCAAAATTATCTTGCATTTGTCATCATCATCATCATCATCGTTATTTTTAGATCTGGTTGTATTGTAATGAAAGAGAGAGGAAGAAAGGGTGAGGATTTGGTGAGTGGGGAGGTGGGGAGCAGTTGGGGAAGGGGAACTAACCATAATATATTATATTAAAAAAAAATCTAAGTTCAAGTAAAAAAAAATTTCAAGGTTTGTTGAAAAATTAAGGGTTTGTTGCTAAGTATAATGGCTACATCTATAATTTATGGCCTTAAATGGCTAAGGCAGGAGAATTACAAGTTCAAGGCCAGCCTGGGCTACATAGCAAAATTCTGTCCCAAAAACCTAAAGAAAAAAAAAAAGATAAAACAACAGAAAAAGAAACACAGGTCAGAAATATCAGCGACCAATACAAGCTCCTCCACTCATTTCCTTGGTAGAGACAGGGTTCAAGGTGTCTCTTCAATTGCAGATGAGCAGTCCTGTAGACACCAGGATTGCCGCCATTCAAAGGCTAATCTGGGGAAGCCGTTTACTCCATGTTCTTACTGAAGTTAATAGAAAAGAGGGGACATGGACACAAAGGCTGAT